ATGTTTTGTTGAGGTTACACAGCTCGTGAGGTGAAAAAAGATTTGAATTTTTCAGCTCATCTGTTGGGTTACAGAGGATCCAGCCTACATGTGGACATGTCGTTCTTTGTGGGGTTTTTTTTCCATCACATTTTTCACTCTTGCTTTGTCATCTTGTTGAATCTTTGAAAGTTTTTTTCATCCATTGAGCAAAAGAGATTGACTATTGTTTAGGTTGTGTCTGAATTTGTGTCTTTGTGAAAGACAGTTTTTGCTTGGTGTCAGTTTTGAACAAAGCATGGCCCTATTGAAAACAAAAGTTGTAATTACTGACAAGCTCTTTTGTCCTTGTAGCTCCTAATATCCCATTGTAAAGACTGTTCACACTTGACTTGTGATTCTTCTTTCCCTAGAGAAATATTCTCCAAACATGTTTTTTTTAATTCTGAAGTGTAAAAATACACATTTTTGTATATTTTCTCCTAGAAAAAAAAAATCTTCAACCTATAAATATGTATGAGAAGCAAAACACTGTAAACATATACAGTGAAGTTGACAGGTTATTGTGCTCAAAAGTGTGCTATTTTAGTGTGTGCTTATTTTAGTGCACATAATTAGTGATAAACTATGACTTACTTGCATATGGACATGGTGTGTAGATACTTGTATGTTGATGTGTTCTGAGAAATGTCTTTCAGAATATTTGATTTTGGATTTTATATATAGGGTGATGTATTTAATTACGTATAGCAAGAGATGTGTCACATTTACCATAAGTTGTTGACAAGGTGTTAACACTGTAGCCCTCTCCCTCTAACTCTGTAACCCTAGAAGCATCACACCTCAGAGCTGTGGGACTATAGACAGTCCTCACTGACTGTCTCTACCCCTCATGCATTCTCAACTTGAACTGTTGTTTTCAGCACTGTCCTGAAGGCAGCTTTTTTGCTAGTTTGTTGTAGTTTGAGCTGCTAGTCAGTTGAGTTTAATTAGCCTTATTTCATCTGAAAAATCCTATCTCAGTTTCAAAACTTGTCCTCGGTACGTGATAAAAAAATTAAACTAAAATTTCTATAAAACAACAATAAAACTTTTAAAACTTAGACAATTAAAAACTTATAGTACTCATGTCCAGATTTCACATCTGCAACTTCTGTCTGTCATTGTCAGTCCAGCATACAAAAAGTCAAATGTTCCAATGTAAAACTTGTGAACTGATAAATGATGGAATTCAATTTCAGATTAAACTCACAATTGAATCATAATGACTATGATTAAGATGTGACAGTCTTTTGTTATGCTTTGCTACACAGGGCAAAGTAGGATTGTATTAAACCTGTGACAGGTTAGATTATCTTCATAATGGCAACTCTCACTTTGTCTGTCTCTGTGTTTGTCAGCGAGGAAAAGCTGCTCAAAGCAGACGGGGGCAGAATCAAAAATCAGTGTGCACATGTGATGAAGTTCAGATTTAGTTTCAGTTTACACACACACACACACACACACACACACACACACACACACACACACACACAGTTGGTCTGTTTCCATGGTGAGAACATAATACTCTTCTTCTGTGTTCCTTTTTATCTACATGTCCTATAATCCAACCAATGGTTTTCACACCAATCTCATTTATAGACCCTCTCGCCCTGGTGAATGAACACATCTGTCAAAAACAGTGGTGTGCACCTGTAACATACATAGTACCATTAGACGACAATTAAATTTATGCAATTAATATTCTTTATTGTGGTTGCACGTTTGTCTTCATTAGAGAGCAGGGGGGTACTCTAGGAAGTAACAAAGCGTGAATCCTAAACTGTGTGTTGATTCAACTAGACAGGTTTTTGGTTTTTGAACAAGAATTAGTTCAATCAGATCAAACTAGGCTCATTCTGACTGGAGCTTATTTTCTGTGAAAAACCATCGTCAGTTGAGCGCTCATAAAACAATTTGCCATGAGAAAAGAAGAGCAGAGCTTCTTATTCCACTCCAGTGGAGCAACAGATATTAATGCATGTGTATGCTGAATATAGACCTGCCTTTTTGTAAACAGCAGCACAAACGGTGATGCTATCGTGGAAAAACAGGACTGACACTAGCTCTTTAAAGTGTAGTGCAACCTGTCCACATATACCAGACATTCATTCAATAGTAAATTGGCGGGATGCTACGCTATGGTATATTGTCTGTAATCTGATGGTTGCAGAGCCGACTTGGCAGGAAATGAAGATGAAATCCAAAAACAAGACGTTTTTGCCTGTAGCCAAGGTCACAACATAATTTTCCCTTTACGCTACACTTAAATAGAATTTGTTGCGTCTTTAGTTATAGTGATGTGACATGGTTTCGAGTGAAATGTGAGTGAATGTGTGGGCTGGGTTCAAGTTACAAGAGTGATTTAAATCAAATCTCTCAGATGTGATTGGATAACTCAGTGTGATACAGAGCTATGCAGAGATACAGAGCTGCTGAGGGCTGACACCTCTCTTACCCTCACTGTTAGAGCAGGAGAAGTCGGACAAGGGTTAAATGAATAAATTCAACCTTAACCACATGTGAGCAAACTCTTTGCCGGCTGAAATCCAAACACATTCCTCATATTAAGTTGTGTGGTGTTATCTGGTGAGCGGGTTTAGCTACAGGCTCCAAATCACATTTGAATTTATATAACCACCCACGAGTTCAATTTACAGGAGGAGAAAAGAGAGGGAAACGCCATTATGGACTTTTTGACACAGAGAGGGAAAATGTATTTTATTTCACTGTCTCTAATTCTAGCCTCAAGAGTCTCAGTTCAAAAGTTGAGTTCACTCTGGGCAGCAGAGTTGGAACAACTCCTAACTTGTATAAAAAGAAGACCTTTAAAAATGTTCCAAAACAAAAAAATGTAAATGTATTGCTTTCACTTTAACAGCAGAACAGTGGATGATGTGAGCTCCATCACATGTTATTTCGGCGGTTCAGAAGAGCCCAGAGAATTGCAAAATGAAGCTTTTGACTGGAAGACCATAGCCTGCTCTGTCTATACCTGCACATTAACGCTGTGGAATGACTTCATTTTCACAAAGTCACCTTCATTTACTGTGATGGAGAAGTGGGTTCCTTCAGCCAATTACCTGAACCCTGAAATATAATTCACTGATCATTAGTAAAAAGCCTTCACATACAGTAGAATAATTTCTCGTTAAAGCTGAGAAGTCTTCAATTCTGTGGCGTTCTTTTTTCTGTAATGAGTCTCACGGTTTATGTCCAGAAATGACCACAAAATTGGCCATTTTATGTTCCAGATAGACTGACACATCGTTTTCTGGGATACCCCCAGGCCTACTTTCAATTGTGATCAGATGAGGCGCTGACAAAATGCTTGAGTTTTCACCCATATTTTGAGCTTTTTTGACAATGCATGTAAATACATCTGTTATTAGTGTGGTAAAGAAATTAGGATAAATTATCCTGGCAATATAAAAAAAAAAAAAATCTTGAGAACAGGCTCAAGTACTATAGACTGCTAAATCAAACATCTTCTGAGCTTTTCTAAACAACTTAAACTCAAGTGAAGCACCCGTCAGGCTCACAGAATTGTTTTAGCTGTGTCCCAAGATGCTTTCTTTAAGCTTTGCCTTGCTCTTAACTAAACACTAATTCTCATATCATCATGAGATAAAATATGAACTTTTCTGTCAAAAACATTTATTGAATTTGTGTTATTAGAGTCGTGGATGGATTAAGAAATGGGCAAAGGCCCAGGGCCCTGAGAGGTCAGGGGTGCCTCAAGCCAGAGCCTCTGTATAAAGTGACTGTTAATGTTTCTTGCTTAGAATTTATAAGGCTCAGTTAAAAGACACAAAGTGGCCACAATAATTTGTCAAACTATCCTGAAAAGAGGCAAAATCACCACAAAGAGTTTCAATCGACCACAAAGGGAAACAACTAGTACAAAAAGGCAAATTACCGCATTTAGATGCAAAACTGTCCCAATAAGAGGCAAAACAACCATAAAGAGATGCAAAAACGACTACAGAGGCAAAAAACAACCACAAAACAACCGTAAGAGGGCCCATTTTCTCATCTGTCAGTGGTTATTGGGCAACTTTTCTCATGACTTTCTCACAGTCTGAATATTGGAGTCGACATCTTGTGGCCATTAAAGAAACTGCATTTTAAGGGAACTTGCACATTGGCTTCAACGTTCAGCTGTGTGGGTTGTGGAGCATCAATCCTCTGGAAGGATTTATAGGAAAAAGATTAACTGTAGGACCGAAAGCATACACTTGGCTCTAGATGTTATGTAGTGTAATCGACTTTTTCTTGCTCTCAAAATGAAATTCTGACCATGCCGTCAGAGACTGGGCACTATTGTTCAGTTGTGCAGTGTTATTCATCAGGTGTGCATTTGTCCTGATCTTCTTCTCAGCCATAACAGCAGTGGAAGTCAGCGGAGTATTCTGAAGCTGCAGCTGAAGATTCAACCAGTTCATTCAAAGATGCCCTTCAGCATATCACCTCAGCTGTAATTTTCATACATCAGATTAAATGACTCTTGTCTCTCCGCTCAGGTTTTATCATCAATGAGTTGTTTTTCCCATAACACGGCTGCTGACTGGATGCGTTTTATATCAACTCTACATACTGTGTGCTGGGTTCAGTGGGCAGAGATTTCAGCAGCGCACCAGCCTCTGAAGCGACAGCAACAATTATAGTACTTTCACAATCACTTAAATCACACTTCAAGGCAATTTTAGGGTTTAATGGAACAGTAAATGACCTTCCTGATTCCGCACACTCTCCTGCACAAGATTCAACACCCATTTTATTTAATCTCCAAAAAAACATACACATGAAATGTAAACATACAGAAGAAATATACACACAAAAAGAAATAAATGACAGAGCCAGTGAGGGCAGGATGGGGAGATTCTCATGTGCAGCATGTGGGATAAATGTTTGTGTGATTATGTGTGTACCTGACATTTTCTGGCATTGCTTGATTCTCTTGCATCTTTTTCTTCTTCCAGTGGCAAATGAAGACGGAGAGAGCTCCACCAGACCACAGGCCAGTTTTGCACGTAAGTGTAATGGTCATCGTATATTAGTCATACTTCATTATTTTCCAGTTCACTGTATTCAATTCATTTCAAAACATTTCACCAGTCAGATCAAAGTATTAAGGGGTCATTGTAGAGTTAATGAGATATTAGCTGCTGAAGGAAAATGTCGGAGAATGGAGTTTTGCTTGTTATCGCAGCATAAAAAAAAAATCAGGAACAAAATTTTCCAGATATAATTTCTGAACATTTAATATTTAATATAATTTTTAACATAATTCCTGAAGTATTTTCTGCCAAAGGGAAAAAAAAGAGAGAGAACACTGTTAGATTAAATATGTTTCATTTATTTTCTTCTTTCAGTATATCGCAGGTTTCGCTCGCTGTCTTAGAAACAGACGATAAAAGTATGACACATTAATTTTACATGACATCTTGAAGTCTCTGTAATTGCAAAGTTGGGTATCCAAATAGGCGTATGAGCCTGTAAAGGTTGGTAAATGCTCTTCCAAAGCAAAGTCTACTAGTTGCAGTGGTAGTCCTACTTGTCTACTGTGTAGTAAGCACAAGGGAAAACTAGCATTGGCAATGTACATCCACATGGGGGCAGCATTGTAAAGGCACTCGATCCTCTTACTCCCCTCCAACGCACAAATTAGTTTTGTTTGGTAATAATGGAAGCAAACAAAGGAAATATTGATTCATGTCACCATGCAAAAGGACTGTAACATCAATCAGGCTTTTCTTGTTTGCTTGTTTTTTTTTTTTTTGCAGGCTCAAAGTCCCAGAGTGCTTTGTGGAATGCCATCACGGCGGGGATGGGGATCAAAGGCAAAGAGCAGAAAGGCCCCCTGAATGACCCGCGGAGTCCTGAAGAGATTCTGGCTGACGATCTTCCTGCAGCAGATGAACCAGACGCCACAGAGAAAACGGCCATCAGGTTTGCCAACGATGAAAAGTTTATTATTTGTTAATGATCATGGGGTGAATCCAGCGTCAGGCTGCAGTGGGACATTGACAGCCATGTCCAGCTCATTATCTTGCACAGGTGTGATTTGCATACTGTCGATACACCTCGTTAATAGTATACAGAGAGGACACATGGCAACGTGCACGATCAGGCATCTTCTGCACTGTATTCGTTTGGAGTCTGTGACTTTGATTAATGTGAACTTGATTATTAAGTTGGTAAGATTTGAAGTACTTCCTCTGCTTGCTTTCTATGAAGAGGATAATCTTCTGTCTGACATTTAGCATTCTTGATACACACACACACACACACACACACACACACACACCGGGTGCTAATTGCTATGTACGGATGCTGACCTCAAGGGATGTGGGCATGATTGATTCCACCTTGATAACAAGGACTTCAAACCACCATTAACATAATTTGTTGTCACTTTTAGAATATTGAACGTCTTTTAACGCCTGATTCCAATTAACCTTGATGGCTCTGGAGACCGTTACAAATGCCGCAGGTGGCAAGAAGTGAGCATTTGTCAGAGGATACTAAAAATGCACCTAGTGTGCGATAACACGTTTTTGATTGTATGCAAAATAGACAAGGAGTCATGGCAAGCAGATTTGATCGGGTTTTTCTTTTTACATATTTGAGTAGCAAGCATTTACAGAGATTCACAGTTTGTTATGTGTTTGGTATGAGATTGCGAAAATCCCATTTGACTTGTTTGTCTCATTTTCTTAACTGCGGTAACACATGCTTGTTTTCTAGTGCTTCTCTATGCTATCTCAAATTACAGTGCCGTTGTTCGCAGCCATAGTCCCCCATAAACGCAGATCCTTTTTTTTTTTTCCAGAGCAGGGCGGTGACAAGGAGAAAGTGATTTTCCACTTGGATGGACACAGCCTGTTCCTTCATTTAAAAGCTACAGCCCAGATTTTAAAGAAAAACATAGCCAGTGCAGTGCAGCTAAAAGCACCCTCATCTTCTCTGGAGGAAACAGTTCATTTGTCCACAGAGACAGTGACTTACTTCAGTGTGCTTCATGAAAACATAGCTCTAGATTTGAATCAGGGTGGGGAACGAATGCCAAACATGAGCTGAGTGCTGCGAAATCTTTGGCCGAGGCAGAACAATTTGCATCACTGCCTACTGGCCTGTGAGGCAATAATTCATTTCAGTTGCCCTTACAGTTTAAATGAAGGAAAAATATCCTAAAAATACTGAACCTGCCAGGCTTTTGTTTATTTGAGTAATTTGACTGGTGAAATTGTGTTTGCAGCCGGTGAAATTGGGGATTTACCAGCATATGTGGCCTCTGGAAAAAAAAAAAAAGCTGCGTTCTCCTATTTGGTTTTCGTTGCGTCTATACCACATGATTCACACCCAGCCATCTTCCTCCTTCCTACTTTACCTGGGAAATCCCACTAAGGTCAGGTGAAGTCTCCAGCCAGGGCAACGATGGTTAATGGAGGGCAAATCCACAGGGAGTTATGGGGATCTACAACTGAATGACAAATGGCAAGATTATGGTGCAGGGTGATTAAATGACCGCAGAACTAGCAGTAATCCATAAAATGATGTAACCACCGTGTCACCTCCGAGGCCACGGCGGGCTGTTATCCTCCAGGCGATGATAATTAGATTTTATTGGAGAATGGAGAGGGATCACATGATGTGTAGCAGGCAGGACAAGAGTGAGTGAGTTAAAGGACAAGTGGTATTGACTGTCATTAACCGGGTTTGAATAAAGGTAAAAGTCAGTTTTGGTGAATATGGTGAAAAAGAGATTAAAGATTTTGATTGTGTTGCACTATTTCCACAGTCCATCTCCATTCAAGTATCCTAATGGCCAATTCATTGTTCTTCCAGTCAATCCCTCAGTTTACAAAGCTGCTTCATTGTCTTTGTAACCTTTTTTCAGATCAGCTGACAGGCTGCCTATAGTTCTTCACATTCAGCAGCTGCTGAAATAGTTTTAGGATTGCAGCTGCTGCTAAAACACAATTGAGTGCATGCTTAGTCACACAGTGAGGGACAGAAAAACAATATGGAGACATTAGTGTATGAACACACACTGAGTCATCGGTGCGACTGGTGTTATGCTGGTGTTTCTGCTCATTAGGGGAGCCCTATGCGTTTTAAAGCACTGGCTAGCTAATGAATAGGCAATAAGGTGGCTTCATGCAGAAGGTGACACCAGCCATTTTTATGAATGGTATTGTATATAGGAGACTGCTGTGTTATTGTTTACACTTAAGTCTGCAATCACTCACAATTTGCCACTTGAAGCCTTTCTATGTTATTTATGCAGTGTCACTTATGGTCAGTACACCCACATAAAGAGGGTGGACAAAATAAGAGACACACTTGTGATGATATGAAATCCAATAACTCCATGCAATAAAATCCAACTGTCACTAGTCAGACAACCCCGAGAAATATTATCAGCATGTGATTAGGATACATCCAGTGGCATACTAAGTTATTGATTAAGAACGATTGATGGAGACTCATTCAAAGTTTATGAGAAAATGGCTTTATATTCAGCAAGAAAAAAAGTGACAAATATATCTCTTGTTACTAAGATCCAGTGATAATGGCTATTTCTATTGGACAGGGATTAGTATGAGTTGAAAAGTGAGTAGAAAAGCAAATTATGTACAGTGACCAAAAAGTATGTTGCTTATTTTAAATGGCGGGTACTAGAGTTATACACAGTAGCATCAAAACACATCACAGATACAAATATTCAAATAGCCATGCACACATGCAGCTGAAACCCAGACACACTCCTGTGGTCAGCAGTGTGATTTATCCATTGGTTAATTGGATGCTGTGCGCCGCTGTGAACTTTGCAGTTGATTAAAGCGGCCGTCTCCTCCGTGGCACTCCACAGTTTTGGACGGTGACCCCTCCTTTGGCTGTAACCGCAGGTTCACAGACCCCCACTGGCATCCCTTGTGCAGCAACAACCTCCATCACTAACCTCACTAGCTGGCTAATGAGCCTCCGCTGGCCATTGTGACTGGAAGCACATGGACAAATGGCGGAGCTATTCATCAAAGTGATTGAAGTGTAACCTCACAGTTATGATGTTGAAGAGCTGCATCACTGCTGTCTGCCACAACAAGCCACATATATCTGGATTAGACTTTCATACACTATGAAAAACACTCAATAAGAATGGTCAATGTTCTCAACAATGGGAAACAAAATCGAACTTCAAATTGTAACTGAGCCAAAACGCTATTGATTTAATTATCCAATGTTGTTGTGCAGAGGTTCCCAAAATCTGAACTCGTGTTACTGTAGGTTAGTTATACGTTCATTATCTAAATACTGCTTGGGGTTATAAAAGCTTCCAAGCTTTGCTGTAATTAATATATTTATTCCCTTGTTTGCAGCCTACAGCCTTTCACTGAGAATACATTTTTGGTTATTGCTTGAAGTATAGATCAGCAGAGGCAGCCCAGTTTGAATTATTTAGAAGTGTAAAGGTGAATGGAATAGAAACATATTCCATTTTTACAAATAAAATCCTTTTTTAAAGTTGAAAAAAGATGAAATAAAGACCAAAAATTCTAAAATATCGTATGTAACAAAAAGTGGTTAAAGAGTGTGTACACATTTACATCTGCTGTGATAAGATCAGTCCATTTTCTTTCGCAAATGGGCTTAAAATACATTAAAGAGATTTCTGTGGATATGCCCTCACCTTTACCCCATACCTCCTGACCATCTCAATAACAGTGTATTCACTTTGCCCACATTATAGCCTTTAAATACACTATGTGAATTGCAGACCGCTCAGCTATGATGTGAGTAGTCCTCTTTTTGTCGGCTTTGCACATATTGTTGAGCTAATATAGTTGTAGGATCAGAGCAGTTACAGGCGGTGAGGCACTTAGAGTGGGGTAGCAGAGTATTTTGTCTGCGCAGCATAAATTTGTTGTGATGTTTGTCACGTTGAGCTGTGTGAGTTCATGTGAGTGCGCTGTTTCCTATGCCTTGACCCTGAAGTGAACTCTGGGACGGGAAATCACCATCTATCGTGGACTATTTTATGGTGCGGCAATAAATACACAAGTTAAAATGAGACGTTAAGCATGTAGACATAAGCGCTTGTACCCACAAACACTGGCTTTTGAATTACATGCAACATTACATGCATGTCCAACTGTCCATCTTAGAGTGTGGGACTTCATTTCCATAATTCAACTTTCACTAAACAATAATAATGTCCTCTAGGGGTTGGGATGCTTTTCTTTAAATCAGTACTCACGCCTATGAAACCCTTTTCAAAACAGCTGCAATATATTTCAAGTTGAAATTAAAGCTCAATCACAGGACATATTTGGCATTGGCAATGACTCAAATGGTACAAGTGGTTAGTACTGCCAATTCCAAAATAAGTGCAACCCCAATGCTATTTATACTTGTAAGCTGCCTTTAGCTCTCTGTTTGGGTTATCCAGTCTGTACTTGGACTATACAGTTGCCTCCCCCATCGCCTCTCTTTAACACCCTCAGTTAATCCGTCAAGGACCCATTGGCACCATATCCAGCTAACAAGCTCAGACAATCCACTGTACACAAGGTGACGCAATTTGTAGGTTAAATCAGATTGAAAAGTTTGAGTTTGTGAGGTGGCCAGGGACATTCAATCGGATGCTAATACTGGCTTGTATCAGCTTAAGCAGTGTTGATTTAAGTAGGCAACTGTTTGCAAATATATTGGCCATTAAAAGCACTTGGTAAGCACTTTTTTGTTTGTTTGAGGTTGCAGTCAGGTGAGTAAGACTAAGATTCTACAGCCATGCTAGCTCCTCTGTAGGGCTATTCGTTAGCACAGTGCTGCTTTGAGCGGGTCACAAATTAGACTTTTAAACATGATGGTGGCGCTGGATGAAATGTCAAGAAATCATCCTGATGATCATCCTACAAAATGTTGTGCCAATCCATGAAGTTGAG